CTGTATTACTCTAGGAAAATTATTTATTATATAACTTTATTTTACACCGATGTAATGATATGTGTATAACAGCTTGTTGCTGCCACCATTAATAAATTAATAAAAAAAATAAACTTACTCGCATTTCAAAGGGCCTAATGGAACACCCAGTAACAATCCCAAAACTAATATTTTCTTTAAAAATAAACTAAAACTTCTTTAAAAATATAGATCTTCACGTCGATCTCAAATTGCTCATGTTGTTGGCTTATTGGGAAATATATTGTATATTGACCTAGAATTTATATTTTTTACATTAAAAACTATGCTCAATACGCTAATTTCTGGCCCGCATGATACCTTCCATTGCTCAGCAATTTGGCTCCCCACTCCTTGCTATTTCTATTAATGATGTTGGAGATGAACATACTTGTCATGTGTTAATCTATGCAGAAGACATTGAGACATTAAGCTCTTTTTTTCTTTTTCTTTTTTTTTTTCTTTCTTTTTTTTCTTTTTTCTTTTTTCCTATCAAAACAGTACAAAATTGTGATTTGCAGTATAAACTTGATATTTTTGTCTCATGGTGCATGCGAAATACATTGGTACTTAAAACTGATAAATGTAGAGAGATGTCATTTTATAGGTTGTTATTTGTTAATTATAATTACTCTATTTTTGGTACAGTTCTTGCAAGAATTAGCTGTAAAAAAGATCTTGTTATCTTTGATCACAAACTAACTTAAATCCCATAGTGAAAGTGTTATTAATTCTGCAAACAAATTACTTGAATACCTGAGGACATGTGAGAAATTTGAGAATATTCAAACCTTGCTTGCATTATATTTCGCATTTGTACATTCCAGGCTTGAATATACTTTTGCTACAAGATAGAATTGGACTCTTAAAGGATCTTGAAAGATGTCAGCAAAGATTTGCAAAATATTTTGAGATCAAGTCTAGAGGAGGCTATCCACCACGTGGAATCAATTTCTTTATGCCAAATTTAATCTAGATTTCCTCAGAAATAGAAAACAAACATCACAAATTATATTTTTGACAAAATTATTAGAGGCATAATTTATGCCCTTTATTTATTATCTCAAATTCTGTTTACTACTACACCACGTTTGAATGCTCACTTTTCTAGATTTTTTTATAATCCTGTTACTAGTGACATATTGTCATAGCTTGAAGATGTTTAATATTTTGGAACTCGCAAATGATTATATCAGCGCCTCTAACCCTACTGATTTGTTACTGTCTCTCTTTCTTCTCTTGGTGTAAATATTATAGATTATTGGAATGCCTCAGAATAAATGAACATGCTTTTAGAGTTACTCCTTTAACTGGGGGTACTTGCAGGACTTTTGTAAACAAAATTAAATTAAATTAAATAGCAGCGAAATATGTAATAACAGGTAAAATATGTACAAATATGTAAATATACATAATTATACCAAAATCTGTAAATAAAAATAGTTCTAATTCATTCAGGATGTCTTGTGAACTCTAATAAATATTATTGAATGCAGGAATCTTGTTCCTATAAAAACATAAATTTACATGAATATCTGTTCCCTACTAATTATATTTGTGAATACATTCTTGACACCTATCGCAAATTTGCAATCACAGGTGATTCTGACCAATGTTTTTGAATGGGCCGGTAAAAACAGATTCTCAAACAAATGGTATTGTATCAAGTGAAACGCGATATGAAAATGATTGAAAATCATTGCAGAAATTTTGCTATATGATGCGGCCTATGAAGTTGCACAGACTCTTGGATCGAAGCACTGCGAGAGTGTGAAATCTGATTTGCAAGAGACTGATTGATTGATTAATGGGTCATCTCTTCCAAATACAAATAATTATTGTAGAGATGTCACACAGAAGAAAGCTTATAATTAAAATACCTAATAATTACATGATGAATATAAAACAGAGGCATAACAAAGAGCTATAGTTTATAATAGTTATAATATAAGTTATAATAGCTGTAGTTTATTGAAGATGCATTCACCCAGAAATAGGTAGAGATGAATATGAAAAAATTCAGACTGATTATAAAATGCATTTTACACATAACAATAGAAAAAGATTATACAATAAAATTATCTTAGCAATAATTTCCCGAACTTGGGGAGTCTTGCCAGCCAAAAGAAGAAGAAAAAGAAGAAGAAGAGAAGACAGAAAGAAGAAAAAAAGAAAGAAAGAGAAGAGAAAAAAAGAAGAAGAAGAAGAAAGAAGAAGAGAACAAAAAAGAAGGAGAAGTGAGAAGAAAAGAAGAGAAGAAGAAGAAGAAAAAAAAGAGAAGAAGAAGAGAGAGAAGAAGAAAAAGAAGAAGAAGAAGAAGAGAAGAGAAGAAGAGAGAGAAAAAAAAAAAGAAGAAAGAAGAGAAAAGAAGAAAAAAAAAGAAAAAGAAAAAAGAAAGAAAGAAGGAAAAGGGAAGAAAGGAAAAAAAAGAAGAAGAAAAGAAAGGAAGAGAAGAAAAAAAAAAAAGAAGAAAAGGAAAAGGAAAGGAAGAAAAAAAGAAAAAAAAAAAAAAAAAAGGAGAAAAAGAAAAAAAAAAAAACAGGGAAAGAAAACAAAAAGAGAAAAAAGAGAGAAAAAGAAAGGAGAAGAAAAGAACAAAGAAGAAGAAAAGGAAGAAAAGAAAAAAAAAAAAAAAAAGACAAAAAAACAAAAAGAACAAAAGAAGAAAAAAAGAACAAAAAAAAAGAAGAAGAAAAAAGAAAGGAAAAAGAAAGAAGAAGAAGAAGAAAGAAGAAGAAAAAGAAGAAAAAAGAAGAAAGAAGAAAGAAAAAAGAAGAAAAGAAGAAGAAAGAAGAAAAAAAAGAAGAACGAAGAAGAAAAAAAAGAAGAGAAAAAAGAAAAAAGAAGAAAAAGAAAAAAGAAGAAGAAGAAGAAAAGAAGAAAAAAGAAAAAGAAGAAAGAAAAGAAGAAAAGAAAAAGAAGAAGAAGAAAAGAAAGAAGAAAATAAGAGAAGAAGAAAGCGGAAGAAAGGAGAAAAAAGAAGAAGAACAAAAAGAAGAAAAGAAAAAGAAAAGAAAAGAGAAAGAAAGAGAAACAAAAAAAAAAAAAAAGAGAACAAAAAGAACAGATAAGAAAAGGAATGGGAGAAAAAAGAAGAAGGCAAAGATAGAAAAGAAGAAGAAAAAGAAAGGAAAAAAGAAGAAATAGGAAGAAAAGAAAATGAAGAAAGAAAAAGCAAGAAAAAGAAAAAGAAGAAGAAAGAGAAGAGAAAAAAAGAAGAAGAAGAAAAAGAAGAAGAAAAAGAAGAAGAACAAAAAGAAGATGAATAAGAAGAAGAACAAAAAGAAGATGAATAAGAAAAAGAAGATGAAGAAGAAGAAAAAGAAGAAGAAAAAGAATAAGAAAAAGAAGAAGAAAAAGAAGAAAAAAAAAGAAGAAAATAAGAAGAAAAAGAAGAAGAAAAAAGAAAAAGAAGAAAAAAGAAAAAGAAGAAGAAGAAAAGATAGAAGAGAAAAAAGAAGATAATAGTGACAATAACTACGATTATGATGATTTTAAGGTACAAGAAAATAGAGATAGCACAGAGCAATATGATTTTTACATTTTCATCGACAAGAAATTTTCTAGTCAATTAGACTATGCAATTTTATTTGCAATATGCAATCAGAAAGCCTCTTCAAAATTAGGGAGTCATCTTATATTCAAGAAGATACAGTAGCATCTTGGTCTGACAGAAAATTCTGTATGGTATTGAGGAACTAAATTTCTACACCCAGAAACATGATTGAAGTCCGAAGAAAAAAGCTATCACAGGCTCATGAGTTTCTGAAACTAATTAGTACAAGACAGTTTGTATCATTGTGTATGTGTACATGTATATTTCAAAATATAAGACGCAATATTACAACATACAAGCTCTTTCCTGGAAGAAATGTACCATATTTTTTTCTGCCACAACTATCCGTTGCACAGCATTTCCGCTTGCACGGAAGTGTGGGCGTGAGTCTTGGGAAATCTGTGCAGCCCGCACAAATTGGATCTGATCTCCTGGAGCATCAGAGTGCCTGTTTCTGTGAACTGTCCTGTAAGTGCTCGAACAAAACACAGGTGGAAAAAAAATTTTGAGCAGTGATACGATAGTGATAAAGTTTTGTTTTGAACTTGAGACGATGCAGTCAGGGAGTTTCAAGTAGCTTCAGAAGGCTTATAATAAAGATTGCATGTCATATTCAAAGGGCAAAAAGTGACATAAAATGTTCAAGGAGGGACATGAGGACTCTGACGAACAACAATCAGGTCACCCCACAATGATGTGAGTTGAAAGTTCAGATCACAAAGAGTGTGAATTGTTGAACTCTGATACAAGAATGACTGTTCACCTACTGTGAGAAATACTTGACATTCTGAAGACCAATGTGCACAACATTGTGACGGAAAACTTACAAATGCCGAAAGTATGTGCTATACTTGTCCCAAAAAGGCTCATAGATTGCCAAAAGAATGACTGAATCAAAGAGTCATCAAGAATTGTTGCAGTGTTGTGAGCACGCTCTTCCAGCCACCTTATAGTCTTAATTTGGCCTCAGCCAAATTATTTTTGTTCACGAAGATTAAAAAACCCCTCAAACGACTGCATTTAGGGACCCTAGAGAACATCGAGGCAGCTACGAAGAGGTTACTAAAGGACATACCAGTGAAGGTCTTCCAGGATGCATATAAAGCATGGAAATCTTGTTGGAACACAAGTGTTGAAGCAGGAGGGATGCATTTCAAAGAATACTGAGTAGTTGTAAAAAATCAGTTCAATAAATTTCTTAAAATAAATATGGGAGCATTATTTTCGGGACAGACCTTGTGCACCACAATTATTTTCTGATTTGAGGAGAGAGATGAATCGTTTTTTCATCATGATTAAGTATGTGTATTTGATTTTTCCATTCAATGATCATTTTAGGTACAGACGATTGCACCAGTCATAAAATCTAATAACTTCAATGTTTTAGTCACAGACAGCACCTTATTAATAAAACAAACTTTTATACCTTCGGCGAAATGTCTCAAGATGTGTTTTTAGTAGCAGTAATGCTCTCTGGATGCAGAGAAGACTAGCTTCTTCAGCAGTGGCAAGATCAGATGATGCTGCAGCCAAATGAGCCATACATTGAGACACAAACTCTGATTCATGGTCCAACTGTCGCCCCACATAATAACTGTTTAAGTACTGGATAGCAGCCATACTGACATCTGAAAGCAGAATTACATGTGAATGAACTTTTACTGAGCGTATATATTAACAATTGTTTATATCAATTGCATTATCATTACTCATTCAATAAATCATTAAAAGTCACATCCTATATACTCGGATGCCTTCAGTTTCTCAGAAGGGCTTGTAGAAGGGAAGATATCTTTGTCGATTGTGTTAATATTGCAACATAGCAAAACAATGGAAGCACCATATATCTTGAACAAAGCATACAGCATTGGTTTCTCCTGAATGGTCTCTTTATTCTAATGAAAAACATTTAATAGATATTCTCTCTTCCCAAAAATAATTCTTATTATTTTGCATCAGTCTTAAATGTGTCAAATTTTAAAACAAACTGATCACTCTTTGAAAACTAGTATTCTTCGTTTTTGACACCTACCACAAAATAAACTGTTAAATATATTTACTTAAATTAGTGAACACCATTATCCTAATGTATGAATGTTAAAATTGGACAATTGGCTGTTATAAAAATTAAAGAAACAAAATAAGATGTTTGATCTGAGACACTCAGAAATTTATAATAGAATCAGATTTTTCACTTGTCATACAAAAATGCAATATGATACTCTTGTTTACACAAGTCAAAATGCACATGTCTTCCTTGAATATTTTCAATTATTAATGTGATTATTTGAATTATACACATTTATTAAGCAGTTTTAGTAAGCTTATATTTGTACACAAAATACTTATAATGTTTTACAATACGAACCATACATGGATACCACCACACTAGTAAAAAAAACATAGCTGAAGAGTTTACAACATCAAAACCGAAAAAACAAGTTATTAAATAAAAAGAGAATGAACAAACAGAGAATACAACATCAACACCCTCCCGTCTTTAATAACTTAGCGAGTTCCATGACATTACATAACTTTTCTAATCGAATACCAAACAATGGTTTAGCCAGCAAGTCTGCAAATTGGTTTTCTGTATCCACTCTTGAAATGTTATTTTCTGCAGATGATACTAATTTTTGAACAAAAAAAATGTCTTACACGGATGTGTTTCGTTCTGCGATGAAACTCAGAATTTTGCACTAGACAAGTTACAGCTTCGTACTCAACTAAAAAATGTGCTTTTATTGGTTCACTTAAAAGTTCATTTAAAAGTCTCTTTAACCAAACAACCTCACAAGCTGCTTCACTAGCTGATACAATCTCAGAAATGGCTACAGAAGGTTATCTTCTACTAAACCAACCAATGTGCATTGTCATGACAGAATACTCATGTTGAGTGTCTGGTCCCAAGGTTACCTCCATGCTCTGCATCACTGTAGCACGTCAGTATGTTGTTACTCATGCTGCTTCTGGATGTAATTCCAGTCAGCAGTAAATTCAGACACAGAAAATTCTCTTATTTTTAACTACATCACGTTCTGTTGGCTTCTCTCAACTTCATCATACTACTTCTACAGCATAGGCTATATCAGGTCCATCTTCCATACATCAAGTACATTAAAGCACCGACAACTTGCCTACGTGGAAATTTCGTAGCAATTGGACTCTCCTACGTACTATTATCTTTTACTATTGGAGTCACAACTGATCAGCAGATATTCATCCTGAACCGTTCCAAAATCTTTTTCATGTAATTAGCTTGAGTTACATGTATAGATCCATCATCCTCCCTTTTAATTTCCAAACATAAGTAAAACCATGCAGGCTTTCAAGTCATTTTAAACCTCTAATGACATCCTGAAGTTCTTGATCACTATTGGCAGCGATCAACCCATCATCTATGTAAAGAACAAAGAAAATCTTGTAAGTGCCTTTCTGTTTCACGAAGAGACAAGGATCTGATTCTCTCCTCTTGAATACCAAACTTTACTGAAAATACAACATTCACACAGCTCGGGATCCATCTCCACATTAATGTGTAAGTTTCTAGAAAGTATGATCTTCACATTTCTCTTATTTTAGTGACCATACCTTTCTCGACATAACTGAAGCACATTTTCTTGACTACATAAACTAGGTTGGCAATATTCGAAAAAAAAACACAAGAAAAGAAAGAACAGTGGAATTGAAAATGATAATGATACAATGAAGCAAAACGCACAATCAGTTCGTTCTTATTCGCCTATGTTTTCGCATTTCTAGGTTATTCCACACTTAAACTATGTGTCTTCGAGGTTTAGCGGTTGCCATGGAAACTACACCACTTATTCCGTGCTAGAGTAAGTCCATGCTTATTGGTAGTTTTCGCTATTTTCCTTCTAACCTGGGCTTAAGCACAGAATAGATTTTACACCACGTTTATTGGTAGGGCTGTAGATGTGCAAAGTTTGATACAGTAATTTCAAGCATTTCACAAGGGCAGTACTTGCTCCTCTACTTTTTCTATTATGTGTAAATAATTTTCCCAAGACTAGAGATTATAAATTAATATCATGTGCACATGACACCTCAGTTGTTAGTAATGCTAAAACTTATTACACTAGATGAACATATCCAAAAATCTCAAAATTTGAATGCGTTTCTACATTGTCATCTATTGATTTTGAGGATTGTTTTTTTTTTTTTTTTTTTTTTTTTTTGTTTTTTTTTTTTTTTTTTTTTTTTTTTTTTTTGTATTTTTAATAGTTGATCACTTGGATCCTGAATGGAAACCATGAATCCTTCTTTTTCACATGATGTCCATGGAGTTCCTTTCTTGACCACATGTCCATACACATATACTGTTACTGCATATACAAATGCATATTGCATATATATACTGTTACTGCAGATGTGATGTGTTGATTGCTTTAATCATGTTCTTACCTGTTAATTTGTTTTTAAGAAGGACAATGATCGTTGATTTGTACAGTTTTGTTCGAGATTGTTTGATTGCCTTATTGTCTCTGATTACTGTCTGATCAAATCTGAAATACTTGTACATTTCTTCATTGCCCATTGCCTGTATTGTTGTTTGATCACTGAATATGCTGTCTATCTTCTGTAACTTTCCAGTTGTTTACATGAAGTGTCTTACATTTGTTAATGCCAAAACTCACACGGATGTCTTCAGAAAATGTTCAAGTTATTTCAAGGAGATATTGAATTGTCTGTCGAACTGTAAAGTTTGAAGTCATCCATGTACCTCAGATGTGATATGGTGTGGATAGTTTTCTTATTTTTGTAACTTTGGAATCCATAGTGAGTACTGTTATGTTGTCTTGACAGGGGGTTTAGAGCCAGACAGAACAATAACGAGCTAAGGAGTATTTTGGGAAGATTCCTTGCTTAATTCTGATGTCTTCTGTTGTAACTGTTAAGTCTTGCTGCCTTATGGACAATATTGTTCTCGAAAGAGTCATAATCTGTTCCAGCAAGTTGATGATTGTTTCACTAATTTTGTATATGCAGAGAACTTCAATAAGCAAACTGTGAGGATTGCTATCAAATGCTTTCTTGTAGTCAATGCATGCCAGGTTCAAGTTTCTTTGGTATTTATGTGCTTGTTGGAGAATGACCAGATCTATTAGTAGTTGTTCTTTACATCCTTTATGTAATCATCAGCAACCTTTCTGTTGTTCTGTCATTATTTCTCTTTCCTCAATTTAGTCTTGGATTTTACTTGTAATGCATGATGTCAAAAGTTTGTACATTGTGGGAAGGCAAATGATTGGGCGGTTCTGTGCCTCTACTTTTGGGTTTCATGACCATAATACCTTCCATTAGAAATAAAGGCAGGATTTCTGGGCTGTTAATGACATGTGTGAAGCACTGAGCCACCTTATGGTGAAGCGATGTAAACTGCTTGTACCAGAAATTTTCAATATGTTCTGGGCCAGGGGCTTTCCAGTTGCATGTTTTCGCAATTGCAGTGCTGATGTCTTTTACTGTGATCTCCTGATATAACATTGGCTCTAGATTTTGTACATTATTAGTACATATATTATTTTTTCCTTAACCCAGTGTGCCTCACTATTGTGAGGATGAGTTTCTGACCAAATATATCACCAGTACTGTTCTAAATTTTGTTCATCTGGTGCACCGTTGTCCTCGTGTTAGAAATTGCAGTTTTGTCTCAGTTGTTGATAGAACGCTTTTTTATTCTGTTTAAAAATTGAATTTTGTTGTTTACATTCTGTTGTGACTTTGTACAATTTGAGTCTTTGTGATTTAGCAGCACATTTCTGTTTTCTGTCCATCTAGTGATCAGCTATTAAATTTGGATCAATGGTTTTATCTTCCTAAACCTTGTGTTTTCTGGATTCTGTTCCTGGTGACCATGTTTTCTAATCTTTGCAAGTGTCTCAAAGGAAGATCATTTAGGGTCAAAATAGATAACACTTATAGTGAAATAAAAACTGTGAAAAAGGGAATTTCACAAGTAAGTTTCCTAGGTCCTATACTTTTCCTAATATTTGTGAATGACTTAAAAAAATATCTAGAAGATGGTTCCCATTATATTTATGTGGATGACAAGATGCTAATATCTATAAACAGAGACCAAAAGAAGGCAGAAGTGGAGTTACAGAAAAAATTTGGAATATTCCAAGAATGATGCCATGATAAAGGTCACATAATAAATGAGAAAAAGACTAAAATATTGCATTTCAAAGCACCAAAAATTGCAAGAGCACAAGTTACAATATTCTTTCACAAAGCTGACTCCATACACAAAGACTTTAAGGGCTGTCAATGTAATAGTATAATTAATTCTGTAAGAAAATTTAAGTATTTAGGTGTAACTTTTGATCAAAATCTGAGCTGTAGGGACCATATTTTGGAATAAAGTAAGAAAATAATAACATGTGGTTGAAAACTAATGAGAATTTTGAATCTAATAAAATTACATCCTATATTTGAAAACACATCAGAATTTTGTATCTAATAAAATTACACCCGAAAAGAAGTGCAGTAGTGCATAGAATCATGACTGTTAAAAACTGCATGAATTTCAACTGCAAGACATTTTTTCAACGAGGAATACAGAAATATCAGTGGGCACAACTATGAAACTAGAAAGAAACACAATTTTATACTTCCAGAAACATATAATAAATTTGGAGAGAGAATGCTAACACAGCCATATAAAACTGCTCAATTCAATGCTGAATAAAATATTAGAAGTTTTGTCTAAAAGAGTATTGAAAGAAAAAAGGTATACAAGATACTAGACACAACATAAAAATAGTGAGTTCAAGAGTTATTTCTTTAGCTTGTTGATCATTGCCATTTTGTTTTATTTATAATTTATGTGTTAATTTAGAATAATAATTTGATTTCTTTTTGCTTGTTCATTACAAGTTTTCAATATGTTAATTAGGTATAGCTTAATTCTCATTTTTGCCTGTTGCCAAATGCCATCTTGTTTCATTTATTTACAATTTATTTAAGAAAATAATTAAATGATTTTGATTTCTTTTTTCCTGCTGAGTACTGGCATTCCAAGATTTTATTTTGGTATTTATGTAAAATTTAATTTTTTTTTACATTAGATAACTATTATTACAGATGTTAATTTGTTGTTTATGTGAAACTTAATTTCCTTTTTTGTCTACAGTTACTCTGTTTAATTGAAAATTTTGTTATTTTAAATAATAATTTCATGTTGTCAATTATGTAAAACTTAATCTTTTCTTTCACTGTTACATACTGCTATTTTATGTTATTTTATTTATGAAATATTTGGAATTAACCAATTGTTAATGTGTAACCTAGATACACATTTGAAAGCTATATTTGATTCTATTATTGATAATTGCTGTTATTACAGATTTTAATTTGTTAATTATGTATGTTCCTTAATACCCCATTCTGGACTGTTACCTACTCTCGTTGAGTTTTATTGATAATTTATTTTTTATTTTAAATAATAATTTAATGATTTCAATTTCTTTCTGCCTGGTGAGTTACTGACATTTTTTTATTGTTATAACAAGATTTCAATGTAAATCATCTGTAACTCAATTTTAATTTTTGCCTGTTGACAACTGACATTTTGTGTTATTTAAAATTTAGGGGTTATTTTAGAGAAAAATTAGATGATTTTGGTTTCTTTTGCATGTTAATAACTGTTATTACCAGATTTTCATTTGTGAATTATGTATAAATTAATATTTAATTTTTTACAGTTGATGAATATTATTACAAGTTGTTAAGTTGTTTGGTCATCACGAGATTGTAATTTGTCAATTATGTATAACTTAAATTCTTCTAAGCCTGTTACGTACTAACATTTTCTTCTATTTTAGTTATAATTTATTTGATATTAACCAATTGTTAATGTGTAAATTTGACACACAATTGAAAGCTAGATATGATTTTATCATGTTTTCTTTCTTTTGATTTTTTTTTTGTTGTTTTATTTTTTTATATATAAAAATTAATAATTATTGCCATTAGCCCTTTGACAATCTAACTATACAATGTTTATTACTTATAAAAGAAATGTTAATTCGATTTTGTATTATGTCAATTGTTAATAATCTGATATATGATATTTGATAACTCACAAAATAGTTAACTGTTAATAATTTGAGTTGAAATTATGTCACTTGTTAATTGGTCACTGTAAAGTATCATCTTTGTTATTGTGTCTTATTACTTACTTCCTAATTACTTAATTAATTGTCTCATAATTTTTATGGCTATTGCTTGTTCACTAACCAATGTGTAATGTAGACAATTTGAGAATTTACTTCATATTAATGTTAGTTGCCATTTGACTCATAATTTCTATTCATTCCTTGGAAAAAATCTAAATTTCAGTAGAAACGGTTTTCGCATCGTACATTAACTGACAAACAGTACAGATGATTGGGTGAACCGTAATCAACAAAGGTAACATGCAAAAAAACAAACAAACAAAAGTACAACGTAACACATCCCTCTCTAACAAGTACAAAAAGTACTTAGAGAGGGTTTGGAGTGTACTGGATAAAGCAAATTTTATAAGAAAGGTATTTTTGCTAACAGGTAATGTAGTCAAACAAAATTAGTATTCTTTCTGCTTGTTCTATGAGGATGGTTTTTGTTGTTCTAAATTTTTTATGTAAATAGTAACATTGATGTCCACTATCAACGTAATTCTTTGGGAAATAAAATTATTATAACAATTTTATTATTATTATTATTATTATTATTATTATTATTATTATTATTATTATTATTATTATTATTAAATTATAACTATGAAGATGTAGTAACTGATGATCATGTTAGATACATTGATTGTGTGTAGTATTGCTGCACAAGCTGAAATACACTCTCAGCATGTGCTGCAACCATTATTTAATAAAAAAATTTTTTAAAGATAATATGTATTTAAAGTAGAAATACTTTTAATTCATTCTAAATGTCATACAAACACACAAAAAAATTATTTAACGAAGATATACAGTGCAAGTAAAAATGTGCCTTTACATGTAAATCCATTCCCATACATTAACATTTGGACAAGTAGTAAATGATCGACAATGAAAGACAATACAACAACAACAAAAATAATAATAATAATAATTATTATTATTATTATTATTATTATTATTATTATTATTATTATTATTATTATTATTATAGTAATAATGACAACCTTAAATAAAATTAAGTTTTTTTCTTTCTTTGTCTTCCTTTTTTGACTTCTTCATTTTTGAAATATTAAATTAATGGTATTTATCGGTTGCAAATAAATTCTTTTTGTTTGAATCTATTTATTTCAGTGCAACCTTTGAGAAAAATTCCACTGGAAATACTGTGATATGTCACCAACCCTAACAAATTTAATAACAATAATTTAGAATCCAGATCACATGTACTTGGCAGGGGTTGATATTGTTAATGCAAGTGTGGTCCTAATTGGTGAATGGGACCTTTTTTTTCTCATCATCATTGGCATTTCAGCACTAACTTTGGTAGTCTGTAATCTTCTATTCTTTCCACGAGTTTAAACATTTTCTTCTTTTACATCATTACACATGTTCTTTTTCTTCAATCTGTTTCTTAATATCTGAGCACATCTTTGGCTTTTGAAATTTGATTTTAATTTTAGAATGTTTCACACTCATGACATCAAAATCATTAAGTTTCTGGTTTATAACCACTTATTATTTCAGTAGATGAAACATTAAAAAAATATCATCTTGTAATTGCTACGTTCACAGTTTGGAGTAAATAAAGAAGAAACACTGCAATTCAACAATATCAATAAAAATAATATTGATTTTACAGCCTCTCCCTGCCCCCAAAAAATTATTGTCTAAGTTAATCTACAAAGGGTATGTATAGACAAAATAAAAAATAAATCTACTTTCTTCCCACGAAAATGATTCATGTTTTGGCAATATTAATGATATAATGATACTGTGTTGAAATTAGGGTTTGCCCATTCAAAAGATGGTAACTGGTTTTAAGTGTATAAATGGTATATTATGCTTACTTCTCCTTAATTCAGAAATATATAAATGCAATTTTAAAATGTGTAAATTTCAAACTTCCATACATAATTTTTTTTTTGTTTTTGAAATATCCTTAGCTACCTGTATTATTAGCTTTCAGGGCAATTTTCCACATGTGATCCATGCCCACTGCATCAACATCCTTTAGTGGGCTGTCCATATGAACATTGGCTAATCTTGCAAGACTACAAAGCTGCTGAAACAGGCCTAGGCCTGTCATACTCATCGTCTCAGGCTCCAGTGAAGGCAACTTTTTCATGTAAAGGTGTTTCAAGGCATCAACACCAAGTGCATGTTGCTCTTTGCTCTTTGCTTGGCTCAATAGCCAGGAGAAGAGTTCATCAGAACAACGAGGGTCTGTTGCCAAACAAGCCCACAGTGTGTCAACCTGCCCAAGGCTTAGCCTGCAAAATAAGGTTACACATGGAGAAGTTCACAGAGGAAAAGTATGGAAGAGAAACAGCACCAATTAAAATTAACTCATATTATAATACAGATGCTATAACTTGCATACCTGAATGAATCAGGGGACCCAAGAGGGGAGAAGACAGAGGTAAGGAACTGTAACCGTACTTGGATCTCCAGTTGATGGGAATAAAGGCTTGTACGGGGCCCTTCTCGAGTGTAGACCTTTAAGTTATTAAAGAAACATTCCATCATATTATGCTGCTCTTCTGCCCATGTAGTTATTTGGTGGGTATCCATTCCACGAAATTGTTGAAAAGAAGCAAACAATTTTGGTAGTAATCTTAAAGATACTACCACAGACCTGTAAAAATACAAAACATTATATTTACACTTACACACACATTTAGACTTTAATCTGCTTTAACAAATGGAATCATCAAACAAATTTTGTCGCTCATTGCCCAAAATTCGAAGGTCATGTTCACAAACAAAATACTGGTCAGCAGTGGTTTTGCTACTCGTGAAAATTAAGCGTACTAATGCTAATTTGCGAGTGCTGATTACAAATCTGAAATCCATTTTGTTCTACTATTTCGCAACTTTAAGATGCTACCATTTTTATCTCTTTATTTGCATAATCAAATAATTTGATAATGAAATTAATTAAACTCATTGACTTTTTAATTATTTTGCTAGTTTTAACAATTTCTTAGATATTAGGAGGGGCTTCTTCTTATAAAAAAGAGAGTTGTGTTCTTTTTACTAATATAAATGTTCTTATGAAATAATTATGAAAAGTACACTAACCTCAAGAGTGGCAGCTATGACACATCCAAAAATGTACTTGAAATATGTTCTTTTAAACATTAGTAATGAGAAAGCATCTATTCCAATAACTCATGCTACTGGATTAAAAGACCTTCAAGTCAATGGTCATCCCCCCACAAACAGATTTGAAAGTTGTATAGCTATTATTAATATCTCTACTACATTATATCTCTACTAGTTGAATTGAATCTTCCTGAAAATCTTACTTATTGCACAATTGAAGTTCATCTAGTTTATAATTTTCATGGTTGAAATACTCAATCTTTAATGAATGAATTAGCATGCATTGACTGGCCAATCATCAACCTGCAGGTTGTTACTTTGCAGCTCGCAATTAATAAGGTTTACCACGACAGACTGACTCAAGTTGTACTGTTATGGGTGACATAACTGAATTTGACGTCAGGAGTGCCACAGGGTTCTTATTTAGTTCCTTGGTTATTTCTGATATTTATTAATGACATAATTAATGTGTTTAAAAACAGCTCTTTTAGTTTATTTGCTAATAAGTTTTGGAGGGTAATATCTGACAAAAACGGTGCTGTGTTTTTGCAGTAAGACTTGAATAGTCTTGTACTGCTGACAGGGAAATTACATTAATTTGAATATAAAGAAATGAAAGTTGCTTTGTTATTTTAACAAGCTATAATATTATTGGATCACAATTGGAGTGAGTTCCTGAAATTGGATTTGAGTATTATTCTTCATAGAAAACTGTGTTTTGCTCAACAAATTGATTACGTGAGAGTTCTTTAAAGTTATTGGGTTTTGTGAAAAGACAAACATTCAAATTTATTTTATTAAAAGCACTCTCAATATTATACAGTTCTTTAGTTAAATCTAAACTCGTATTGTTCTTCATTATGGTCTCCCAGTACTATCAGATGAAAAGGTTTGAAAGGGTTTAGCACATTTTTTCTCATATGTGGCATACCAGGCTAATCTTGAAAATCGCAGATATAGTCATAACTACTTCGTAATTGTTACATTATTGAATATTCCAACACAGGAGTTTGCGAGATGGACAAAGGATGTACTCTTTATGTATAAACTTCTTACTGGGTTGATCGATTGAGTTGCATTGAGGAATCTATTTGCTGAAAATTCAAATCCATGTAATATTAGATGCTAAGTTACTTCAAGAAATGTTTTGTAGATCTCAATTTATGTGTCTGCAATACCCAGACTCGCTAGAATAGCATTGAAATGATAATATAACATCTGGTGGTTTGTATTGTAATCTACTCATTTTCAAAAATTTTTAAACATTGTTTATATAACTATTGCTAAATTTATTTTCTTATGCTTTTTAATCCTAAAATCCTAATTTTATGCTTTTTAATCCTAAAATTGACATTTCTAGTTTGTCTCTTGCTTTGTGTTTGCTATTCAATGCTTGTACTGGAGCTTCTAATACAAATAGTTTTCATATATGTATGGGGCTAATTAGCCTGTTATATCTCTTTTTTTTATAAAAATATATAAAAAATTAATTTAATTAAGTAAAATAAAAAAATTAAATTTTGCAATTAGGCTGTTCCAAACACATGTGTCTTTTGATTATGGGTTAGCAAAGTATGCATGCTTCAAATACAACACTGGCCTCCCAGTAGAGAGTTCGCTAAGGGGAGAAAAATGTGAAATACAAGGGCCTAGTTGACTCGCAGAAGATATTCTCCTATCCCTTCATCTTAAATCTTATTGCATGAAAACTCTTGTAAAGACAATGAATATTGTTGATGAACGCTTTAAATATTTGAAAGAAAGGTAGGGAAGAATGAGGTAAAATAAAAGACAAAGATTTTTATTGGGCCAGAAATATGATAGTTGATGAGTGACAATATTCAGAAATATCTTTATTCTCTTTAACTTGAAGCTTGGTCCTTTGGTCAACTACAGTGGCATAAAGTTTAGGCCTGCAATGTGGGTGAGCCCGGGTAAAGCGAGCCTACTTTTAGGCAGAAAGTTTTTTCAATTGTAAGAAATATTAATTATTAGATATTTTCTCTGACAAGTTGCAATTGTTGATACAATAAAAGATTAAGAACAGCAACTTCCAGAAGAACAATTTTTTCCTCATCGGAAACTTGTGTAACCCTGTTTCTTAGTCAATAAAGGTAAGCAATTCATTTATGTTTTATAACAGTCTTAATTTCATAAAATTACAAAATACAGGCAGATTTTTTACTATTGGTTGTTGATAATAGACTGATGAATATGAATTTGTTAAAGGATGTTTTTATTATTAAAGTTACTAATGCTACATGTGTTTGCTATAGACACGGGGCCAGATAAAAGTTTTGCAGGCAGGCAGCCACTTATTTTGTTATGCTACTTGTCAGTTTAATTCATTTTTTCTGTGATTTCCCTGAGTTTTCCTGTATTTGCGCTATGATTTCCCGACTTCTCATGTGAACCCATTTACAAAGCCAAATAAGATTGTAGAAAGTGCCTCAGAGTGCAATGAAGAAAAACTATTTCAGACAAAAAGAACGATTCTGACCTTACATACAAATTTTTCTACTGGAAATCCTTTATACCTTTTCTCAAAATGGAAAAAAATAATCCACTTTATATATCTTCAGTGATTAATGCTTAGAAAATGTTGAAATAAATATTATTCACAGTTACAAAAATAGATTTTCTTCATAATACTTAGTTGAAAGAAAAAACAAATTAAAAATTCTTCAATTTTAGAATAATCATTTCGGAAACAAATAAAGGTATTTTCTAAAATCTTTTAAACCATATGCAGAATAAATTAAGAGCTTAATATTGAATGCGTTTAATATGATTAATGATGGCATTTGATAACTAGAGGTGCTATTTAGGTGTTATGATAACTAATGGTTCAAACTTTCTCAGACTGTAATAGTTTGTGTCCTATTCTTTTCAGTCAGGACTAGGTTTGCCTTTTTCCTCATCTTCTCCACAGCTACTTTCTATCGGCGGCTAACAAACCTACCATATCCTCATGGTATATACCCTTCTAGAGGGAACATTCCCAGTGCAGATCACCTTCGCACTCCCCAAACATTGGATAGACTTATCTTGGTCATGTATCTTCACATATTTGCCCATGGTAACTAATAACCCTATTTTGGTGCTTGTACCATTGTTCTGACTGTATGGATCCAATTCCTCAAATACACACACAGAGTGAATCCTGTCTATCAGGCCAAGAGATTAAGGGAGCCCCTCACCATGAACATAACTTAAGACACTTATGCCTTCAGTGGGTTTTGAACCCACGGCCTAAGTGTCCACTACAAGAAATCTTTCTTCCCATGCCCCTTATTTAACAAGACTTACCACTTGAACCTACTGTTGGTAAATATGTTAGGGTTTTTTTACTTTCTAAACAATGATATATTATGTCTTTATTATATACTTTGATAATTTTTTTAACTCGTTTGTTGTTGTTTTTTTTGTACAAAGTCAATTGGCGTAAATAAAAACGGTCCTTTCTATCCATGGACAGCCATATACATGTTTTGCATCATTGAATCTCATACTTTTATTAAATTGTTACTAATTATTTCCCTAACACCAATGCAAATAAATCTACTTTTCAACTTCAAAATCTATTTTTATTTCAAATCCTTAATGCTTGAATGAACAATTTTCTCAAAATGGAACATATGAATGGCAACACACACAAATGTATTAAATATATTGATGGAGTTCCTACTATTGTGGATAAATATGTGAAAAACTCTGGAAAAGTAGTTTCCCAGGAAAACTAATTGACAGGCAATCCTCAAGACTCTCATTCTATTACCAGAATGTGAGAGGTCTTCACACAAAGCTGTCCCAATTTGTCATATCAATACCATCTACTGATCACATAGATATTTTGATTCTAACTGACACCTAGCTTCGTGAAGATATATGAGATGCTGCATTGAATCTTGAAAATTATGATGTCTGCAGACTTGACAAATCTACCCATGCAAGCTTATTCTTTATCAAAAAATGAAATTACAAATAAGGATGTTCCAAACCAATATTCTAATTATCCACCTTGGTATTTTACCAAACTTAACAATTATTTAAAGAAAAATATCATTCACACGCAAAATATAAAAAAAATTTGAATGATGATGATTATTTGAAATTCTCCAGATTATGAAAAAGTTGCAAGAAACAAGCTTTTGATGATTTTCAGAGATTTTGTTGAAATACAGAAAACAATTTAAATCATGATATTAGATTTTTTTGGTAATTTTCTAATTCTGTCAGAGGCACAAATGGGTTACCAAACTCATTGTACCTTGGTAAGGGTAATGATTCTAAGGACATCGTTGAACTTTCTGCATGTTATTCTAAATCTGTGTATTAAAAAGATAATGTTGAATTTGTTGATGATTTCATGATCGAAAATCACCTTGTTAATTTGGGATCTATGTCACTGACAGAGTGAAATTTTTGATTAGATTTGGAAATTAGATAACTATTATATCCAGTTCAGATGGTATACCTCCTTACTTTTTAAAGATGTGTACAACTCATTTATTACCATATTTCTATATG